ACCTCATTTCATCCTCACAACAATCTCATAAGGTAGATAAATTAATTATTGCAATAAGGTGTCTATTACTTATAACCTATTATTATTATCATTACTATTATTATTATTTAAAGGGTGTGGAATAGGGAGGCTAGGAAAATAAATTTCATCAACTGAACAGTCCTGCTGTCACACTTCTTTGACAGCATAGAGTTACCTCTTTCTTTCAGGTAGTATCTTAATCTCTGCCAACATCACACAGAAAAACAAACTAATGTAGCTATAGCATTTGCTGCTGAAACCTACGACTCCTTCAGTGACTCTTCCACAGAGGTTCCAATCATCATCATTACACTTCAGTGTAATAGGAAATAAGTTTCATTAAGCTTAAAAAGTTTATATTTCTCTCATCCAGTGTTTATATGATTTCTCTTTAAGAAGTACGTACCTGAGGCCCTCCTGGTGGTGCAGGGGTTAAGTGCACACCTTCCGCTTTGGCGGCCCGGGGTTCACTGGTTCAGATCCTGGGTACAGACATGGCACCACTTGGCAAGCCATGCTGTGGTAGGCGTCCCACATATAAGGTAGAGGAAGATGGGCATGGATGTTAGCTCAGGGCCAGTCTTCCTCAGCAAAAAGAGGATTGGTAGTAGTTAGCTCAGGGCTAATCTTCCTCAAAAAAGAAAAAATAAAGAAAGAAGCATGTACTTTAAATTTCCTTCGTCAGAAATAAAAATTTAAATCATAATGCTATAAAGTTTCTCAAGCACTTGGAAAAAGCAAGGCAAATATTTTTCTTCTTGTAATATATCCCTGTAGAACACAAAAGTGATCCCTCCCAGCAGTAAATAAGGCTATTGAAAGAATTAAATAAGATAATGTGAGTAAAGCTCTTAGTAGAGTGCGTATCATATAATAAATACTCAAAATGGTAGCTATTAATATTACTGAATGAAAATGACTATTAATATCATTCTCCCTGTTAGGTAGACAGGCATTTAACAGGTAATAAAATTTTCAGTTACATGGATAAAATTCCATACTAGAAATTTTGTTTGTCTTTTTAGTTGCTATATCATAAGAAGCAAGGGTCCAGTGGGAGAAAACAGAGTGGCCAAGGTAGTCATGGTAGGAGGACTCCAAAGGTTGGGGATAGCAGCTTCATACCAGTTGGCACAGAAATATTTCAACATGTTTAATAATCAATAGAGACACACTGGTTGAATGGCAACCAAATAGCAGTCCTAGATACAAGGTGCAGACTAGATTACGAACAGGCTAAGCAGGCAGAACTACAAACATAGGTTATCTACATACTTATAACTTTCATGGCCCTAAAGTTGGATTGTGATGACTTACTTTTATCCTTTGAGTCTACATCAACTGGACTTTTAAACTCACTGAGAAGCAGCAATTGTATCAATTTTGTTCACTATTTATTCCTATCACCTATCACAGTGCTCAGTAAAGAGTTAGTCAGTTTCTGTTAGTACCTGAAGTGTCCTGAGGATATGTCTATCTAGAGGGTGGAAAGCTGTGAGCATTCATTCTGATTTTGAACTGACCTTGGAGACCTGCTTCAGGTGCAAGCTGGTCCCATATCATTTGAATCCTTAAATATCAATTCCTAAGCCTCACCTAAGGAGAAGAATACAACGATGCTCTACCGTTACATGGCTCCCCTAAAGCGGGACTGAACCCTTAAAGGAGAGAGGCAGAACCATACAAGTCACTGGGATCTTGAGCTGTTTTTCAATTCTACTCAAAGTTTATTTGGCAGATATGGATCCAGTTTATAATTGTAGACAGAGATCAATTTCAGGAAATAGCTTACCTATGAACTTCACTCGCTCTCGGACAAAACCAAGGTCTTATGACAATTTACGTTTCTCATAATAAACTGCCTCTATTCATTTGGGGAAGTAAAAACCAGAACTGCATTGCAATTCTGTAAGCTACAAATTTCTCAGCTTCAAATAGAAATAGCAGAACAAGTCAAAGAATTAGCTGCCCATAGCAGTGATTTAGTATTTTTAATTGATGTGAATATAACTTAATTTGGTTCTCATCATTTTTATAGATATGTTCTTAAATATAATTATTTAAAAGCTATTTCATAAAATCGGAACAAATCATGTTGTGCATTTACACTATAATAAGCATGACACCAACACATAAGACCATTTTTACAAATTTCTACTAGAACTTGAAGAAAAGAACACAGTGTTAAATGTCACTGGGCAACATTTTGATCCCCATATAATTGGGGATCAAAAGTCCCAAATTTCTGATAAGAATTTTTCAAAAGGGCAGTTATCTTTATTTTAACAATATGAGAACACTTTTTGCCATCATTTCTTTTTTTTGATTTCAAATATTATTCTGTTTTTCATGGATTTTTCACATATATATAGTTGATTGGCTAATTTTCTGTACAAATGACTAATCATGAAAAAATTAAATCACTTTCAATTTGATTTAATGGGTATTTGTTGTTATTGATTTATTGATTTCTTTGTTTCCTGTAGTGAATGAAAACCACTGTCCACTTAACCACACATTATTCCAGTTTACTGAACATACTAATCCTCATCAAGCCACCCCTCCACCCTTCAATCAAACACACATTATGTATTAATCCTTTATTAGTCAGATTACCTGAAGATTCATTTTATTTGAAGATAAATACACACACACACACACACACACACACACACACACACACATATATATATATATATATATATATATAAAGATCTACTTTACTCATGCCCCCAAAGAAGCCCTACAAAAAGGGAAATAGTATGTGGAAAGATGTGCCTAGAGAACTGCCTATTTTGTTACTCCACTTCCAAAAGACAGTTTTAATAAGACCCAAATATTAAGGGTAAGATTGGAAAGAGCTAGAAAGCCTGCTTACAATCTTGAAAGGATCAGCTCAGTGTTACCTCCAGTCTTAAGCACATCAGGGAAACTGACTTGTTTTGGAGACTAACCCATGAGACTAACAGATAAAGCCTAAAAATTCCTGGAGTCCAGTATAGACTCTATCCCTTGAATTGGTTTCAATGATTCAAAGACGCTCCTCACAGAAAATTACCTGAGACTGGGTCAAACCCATTCTGGGCCCTACAATAGTGACTCGAAATCCAAAGATGAGATATAAATTAAACTGACATACAGCTATGGAGCAGCACTGTATTGGGCATCATTCTTAACCTTCTCAACTTCTTCCCTGCCCAGAAATATGATGATCCTCCCCAACTGCTGAAGTATTAACATTCTCCATTTTCGTAGAAGCACAAAACTAATATTTTCAACTTCTGAAAAAGTGAGACAGAAAGAAATTCATCGTTCCATGCATTTCAAATAACATCTTAAAAGAGAACAATATGATCATGTAAGTGAAACCTGTGATGAAACACAGAATGAAGAATGACTACTTAAGGCCAAAATATAAACCACAACATCATATGCATGTTTCATTCAAGCATTAAAAGTAGCAGGTATGAGATGAAGATAAAAAATAACACCAAATTTATCACCTTTCCTTATTTAAATATTACATTGAATTCTTAGGCCATTTTAACAATAAGTGAGTATCTTTAGATAATAAGCATTTTGATCACATAAACAAGAGGGAAAAAATTGAAATCTGAGAATATAATTAAATGCATTTCTGAAGTTGATACTAGTTAAATACTGTGTCTTTTTATATAATACTATGTAGTCAACACTATTGATGACTATATCTGCTTCATTAACAAAGTATTAATAATACCACTATATCTAAAAAAACTTCTCACCAATAATGTTGCCCAGTGACATTTAATTCACTTCAGAAAATATAAAATTTAGCATCAATATTTTATCATTTTGGTAATTCACAGTAAAATGTACAAATTCAGCAATATATAAGACAATGTACACACAACTATTTTTCAGTATCTATAAGACACTAAGTCAGTGTTTCCAAAACCTTTAGCCATCGTCTCTTCAGAATTAAATGTCTGAATGACGCATGTGGACTGGGAGGGTTATGGGAGAATGTGTTGGGGAAAGGAATGATGAAGATAAAAACAAATGATAAACTAGGGGTACTTATTATTAGACTACAGAAATTTGAAGAGGATGAAAATAAACTAAGAATTGTGTGATCACAAAGAACAAGCTTTGAGGGCATTGGGGTAACTCATTGTACAAAACTTAATCAAAGACCAAAAAGATAATTGGAAAGGAATATGTGATTACTAATGCACAAATCTTATTAATGAATAATGCAATTATAACAGTTTCATAACAGAAATTCATACTATTTTATTTTACAAGCAAAAGTGCATGCCAATCATTTTACTATATCTAGGAGAAGTGTGAACTGTTAAGTGTGGGTCTTGTTTCCAAGTCTGCAATAAATCGTACCATTCCTTTAGGTATGTTTTGTTAATTAATTTATTTAATTTAGATTCCAAAATTATCATAACATCCTGCTAACTTTTATCCTAAACCAGGATCATGATTGAAGATAATCTGAGAAGTGTAAAAAGTTGCAAAGAGAGCCTCCTCATTTCTAGATGGTGGTTCTCTACACTTTGTTCACTTTACCTATATGCTTTCCTTCCTGCCATTCCTGAAAACCACCATGCACAACATACTGATATAAAAACGTTGTTGCTTGTCCCAGGAAAATTCAAAAGAATCAAATTTCAATGGCTAATTCTCCATTTTTTCTTAAGGCTTCCTTCCATATTTCTTTCAAATATCATTTAAATCCAACTTTTGTTTGAAGAATTCTCACTAGTTTATTCTGATTGTCAGTGTAAAAGATCCTGTATGTTGAAAACAAAAGGAAGGATGTTAAGCACTACTCATACGTCTTTAACCATTTTTGTGAAGAAACAAAAGCTCCTGTTTCATATAGTTTTTAGTGTTCCTTTCAGTAACTGACAGCAATAATCCTGTCTTTGTCTCACTTTTTTTACCACTTTTGTGATAAAGGAAGCTGATGTGTGAGAGTTATGTAATTGATTTGGGATATCTGTGGCAATTCAATAGATAAGCACATGCGGAATATACAAACTTGAATGTGGCAACCATTAAAGACATCAAAACAATTAGAAAATATGGTTATAAAACTTAAGTATTAAAATTATTTCCTACAAGAATCCAGATGTACCATTGGTCAAATAATTTCTCGAAAAATGTAATAACCACACCCCAAAGGAGGCCTGATGTGACATAAGTCAAAGAAAACTATTGTTTGTCCAGTCTCTTAATTCAGTCCAACCAACCCACAACTGGTTCCTATTATAGATGTGATAAAAGTTCTCTACTTCTCTGGTTTGATATTTGTAAGTTAGGAGTGCTCAACTCAGAATTGTTTCCATGGGAAACGTTACGAAGATTACATCTTGCTAAAGATTGTAGGAGAGCTTCCCGAGCTTTCGATTCCTCTATGTTCTGCTCTTGAGAGATTTGAAGGCTAATTTGATTTACATTATTCATTAACAAATTGGAAGCCATAAGATTGGTTATGGAGTGGCACCTAGTGAGATTTTCTTCCAAAAATTGTTTGTAGAGTTCGTCCACCTTTTTTTCCATATAACTATTAAGCATAGAATTAGAGAGGGGCTGCTTATGAAACAGCATACTTTTGTCTCGAATTTCATCCCCATTCAAAAGCTTTGAGGCAGGTAGATTCTCTAGAGGCTCAATGACAGGAGAATGACCCCATGGTATATCTACTGAAAGTAAAAGTGGACCATTAAAAGCATCATCACGTATGTGTTCCACAAAGCAGCCCGAGTCATACATGTTTCCCACATGGTCTCCTCCAATCTGTAGGTCAGGATAATGCTGGCAAATACTTGTACATGACCAAGATCGGTATAAATCCAGTCGTCTTTCATCATGTTGTTCTCTCTTTGGAATGGGCAATGCAACAGACACATTTCCTGGAAGGGATGCACTTTTGCATTTTGCTACAGTTATCTCATCCACAGATTTTATTTTATTTTTACTATTACTTTGCTCTGTTAAGCATTCTTTCACAACCTTATCTTGATTTTCCATTTTATCAGAGGAAAGTGAATTGTATTCTACATCTAAAAGCTGCTTTTTCCAAGTTTCCTTTTCATCATTTGAGGTCTTCTTATATGTAAGTGGTCTGCAATATTTTGTATATTTCTGTTCTTTGTATAGGAATTCAATTAGGAAAGCTTCTCCAAGCATTTTGTTAGACAATGTTTCTAAACAGAAGAGTGCAGTATATTCCTGTAATATAAAAGAACTCATTAAGGCAACATACATTAAAATGTCAAATGAAGACTCATCTCCTACATGAAACACATGTGATTTAGAGAGGCAGTATTGCTCAAAGGATAGAGAATAGGACCAGAAGTAAGGTGACTTGGGTTTCGATTCTGCCATTAACTTTTTAATATCAGGTAATTTATTTACCAATCCTGGGCCTCGATTTTCCTATCAGTTAAATGGTGATAATAATACTCCCTGATTTCTTTACAGGCTTATTATCAGGATAATATTATATGGGGTACATGCAAGTGTTTTAAAAAGTACACTTATACAAATTATATAATTATTTTAATACATATATTTAGGTGTTATAAATTATTTACTTAAAAGTTATTAAACTGCCTAACCCTTCCTCTATCTTCAAATAGCCTACTTAAAATCAAGCCTACTTTCAAAGAATTGGTCTTAACTGTGCTTTTATTAATGTCATTTGAGTCAAACATTAGAAAAATTACTATATTTTTTAAATGTATACAAGAGATGGATATTTATATATAGTTTGAATTCACGAAAACTTTCTGATTTAAACTATGGGTGTAGCCACTTACTTTATCAATAATCTCAATGCAAATAGGTTTGTCAAATTCGTTACCATGCTTTTTTCTTTTTCTTTTGTCTTTCTCTCCCTCCCTTTACCCCGCTTTCTTTCTCTCTCTTTCTGCTTTCCTTTCTCTTTCTCCTTTCCTCCCTGCCTCTCCCTCCCTCTCACCCTTCCTTCATTTCTTTTCTTTTAGACAAATCTTACTTCCAAAAGTACTTATTTCAGTCTTTTTAATGGTTCTTTTGTGCAATTTTAAGACTTCTAATTTTCCCTATAAATTCTACAAGGGTACAAAAGGAAAAAGCAGACTTGATTTAAGACACAATTTTCTTTTTATAGATCTATAGCGTCTACTATAAATGTTTTCAGAAAACCTACTTATTGATATATAAAGGCTTTTTGGAAGAAAACAAAATTATATGAACCAAAATATGTAAGAATTTAGACTTACTTTTCTCGAATGTCAGGATATCTAAAGATTCAGTCTTCTGAGATTCCAACAGTACAAACACAGGAAAGTCCCTTTTGACTTGTTTCTCAGCTTTTGCTTACATCTCAGAAAGATAACTTTAACCACACAAAATGAATTGGTTCTGCTTTCCATTCAAACCCTAGGACTGAACGAAACTAATAGGAAAATACAGTGGGTTGGTCACATATATGATATGGTAATGCTCACATACCAAAAGAGGATCTTGAAAGTGTTTATTCAAGATGCAAAATACAATGACGGTGGGAAATGTTAACAGCAATAGCTTTCCTCATTCATGTGAAGATGAGACAAGACTATTTTATTTTTTTTAAGTAAACAAAAGCAGTATGGTAACCAGCATATTTTGTAACAATTAATAATTAAAAATAACTTAAATGGCCATCAGAAAGGCAATGGTTAGATAAATTAAGATACATCTATTACATGAAATACTAAACTCAGGATTTTTTATGATGGAATGATAATAAGCATCTATTAAGTAATTACTACATAATAGTCATTCTAAATGTTCTACATATGCTACATAATTTAAAACAAGAGCTCTTATCTCCATTATACAGAGTAAACAAAGACAGAGAAAGGTTATTTACTTGTTGAAGGTCAGAAAGCTGGTAAATGGTGGAACTACAATTTTCACCAGGCAATTGAATTCAGAACCTATGCTCTTATCACTACACTGTATTACCTCTGTGTGTACTGATGGACTGCAAGTTGTAGAACAATATATACAGTATGATTCCATCATGTATTGAGTGTGTACTATGTGCCAGTCACCATTCTAAATACTTTACATATACTGACTAAGTTAATCCTCATACCATCTCTATGAAACAGATATTATAATCTCCATTTTACCTATGAGGAAACTGAGGTGCATAGAAGTTAGATAAGATGCCCAATATCACACAGTTGTAAGTGACAGTCTGGGTTTGAACCCAGGCAGCCTGGCTTCAAAGCCTGTGTGTTTAACTTCCCTGCTATAACTGACCTTTTCTTACTTTTACTTGACTTAATGTATGTAATTATGCTTGTGGAAAAGGATACAAATCAAATTGTTAATAGTGGTTTCATCTGGGAAGAGGGTGACATGGAGAAGGTGAAGGGGTAATTTTACTTTTTACTCCCTATATTTCTATATTGTTTGAATTCTTCTACAACGAGCACGTATTCTTGCATTATTTGCATGTTTGAAAAACAATTCACATACTTAAAAGGATAAGAAAAAAAGCTATACTACCGTCTTTAGAATGTATTTTCCCAATCTCACAGGTGTCTGGTGCATTCTTTAGAATGATTTTAAACTCAGACCAAACTGCCAAAGTAGATTGTGAAGCATAAGCAAAATTTCTACACAATTGATACTTTTGGCTACAATTATCAATACAGGTTTTGTTTGACAAATAATTATTTCTCGGGCCCGGCCCTGTGGCACAGCGGTTAAGTTCACCTGTTCTGCTTCTCAGCGGCCCAGGGTTCGCCAGTTTGGATCCCGGGTGCAGACATGGCACCGCTTGGCATGCCATGCTGTGGTAGGTGTCCCACACATAAAGTAGAGGAAGATGGGCACGGATGTTAACTCAGGGCCAGGCTTCCTCAGCAAAAAGAGGAGGACTGGCAGTAGTTAGCTCAGGGCTAATCTTCCTCAAAAAAACCCCAAAGAACAAATAATTATTTCAAAGTAAATTATCACAAACATCCTATAGTATAAGTTAATTCTAATTTTGTATGCCATACCACCCAATTTCTTTTGGGTTGTGAAAGGTATTCTCTTGTAAGAAATAGTGTATTAATCTAGCTTGGCACCAAGGGAATGGCTCACAGCGAAGTGAGGAAATATGTCACAATACCACACCAGAAAGATTATGAAAACAATTGTAAAAAATGTATTTTATACATCTACTACCACAAAAGAATACTAAAAGAAAATGGAGATCTCAAGTTGTTCCTAACCTATACGCCTTCATTGATTATATCCCATCTCCTTTGCCTCCTTCACCCCTATATGCAGCTGATCCAAATTCTAGCGTCCCCTGTCCTAAAGATCTCTGCCTTTCACTACCATCTTTTCATTCTTGAATTGCTGCAGTCACTTCCAATCTTGCACCCTTTCAAATCCACTTGACATGTTAGACTGATCCACCTTTCACACAAACCTGCTAAATCCTTCAATGGCTTCTAAGAATCCACAGATCAATAATAAGAATAGATAAAATTTATTGAGTGCCTTATAAGGGAAAGACACTCTTGGGCAACATCTTCACTTATTTAACCTTCACAGCAAATCTGCAAGTTAAGATTTTTCACATTTTTACAAAACCAGGAAACAGCCTCAAAAAGACCAAAAATCAACATCTAACATGAAACCTGAAGGTCTATGTGCTTTTCCCTGTTTACTTTCTCAGCTTTTATTCCTTTACTTGCTCCCCAAACTCCAATTATTGTGTTGCTTTATGACTGCTCCTTCTACCTAAAATTCCTTTATTCTTATAATTTTCTGGCAGACTATGCATCCTCAAGGTTTCATTTTAGCTCTCATTTCTTCAGGGATACCTCCTTGATCCCACCCAAGCTGGTTTAGATATCTCTACATTGCATTTACCTCATATTATCAGTTATCACTCTCTGGGTTCCTTGAAGGTAAATGCTTTGTCTTATTCAAATTGATGTGGCTGTTCCCAAGCAACATGCAAATAATCTGGCATTTGTTATCATCAATAATAATTATCAATTTCTGAACTACCTAAATGTCAGACCGTGTGCCAAACACTTTTACATACTCAATTCACTTAATCTTCACGATGATGCTGTCAGGTAGGCATCACCATTCTCACTTTAACAATAGAGAAACCGACATTCATAAAGAACTAATTTGCCCAAGTTCCATAGTTATTGAGTGGTAGAATCATGGAATCCAAATTTGCCTAACACAAAAGCTGGCGCTGAGGTTCTTTGGCATTTCACTCTCATTTTCCATTGCCCATTTCTAGCAAACTCAAAACATCCTGTAAATATCGCTGTCTTCAACTACTGGAAAATGTTAAAATTTGAAAATAAAAGCTGGAATAATGAGCTGCTAATGCAGTGAAGAGAAAGCGGACATTAAACCTCTGAGGTCATCAAATTACACAAGAGGAAAAGGAAGTGCTAGGAGAGTCATCGACTATTGCACTCACTATTACACAAACCAAAAGGTCAACTCCCAGAAGGAAAGGGTGCCCAGCAAATCACGTCCTCAAGAAAGGAGGGGGTTTGGAGAGGGAAAGGAGGCACCTCCCTGGGCTAGGAGAAAAGGTAACAAAAGTTGCTATGGTGGTCCCGTTCCACCCAGGTAAGCATTGGGACCATTTGTTCTATCCCTTAAACCTAGGCAACAGAAGTTTTAATTTGTCTCTTTTCTTCACTTATTACATTGTATTTTGGCCATTTTCTCCCTCAGATGTCTCGGGCCTTCATTCGCTGCTGCGGCTGCCGAGCACCAAAGCTCGTGCTCGCCACTATTCTCAAGCAGGGAGATGGGAGAAGGAGCAGCAGGAATGCAGAGTCCATTTGCTCTTAACCCCTCCTCCCCTGGGCCTGGCACGTGAGGAGAGAAAAGAGGCCTTAACTGGAGTTTATCACCCCTGAGTTCAGCCTGTCCCCGGGCCAGTGGGGGTCTACTGCCTCCTCGTCACAAAGCTCCTGGCGTTCAGGAACGATCGCTCCCTGCGCCACAAGGGCACTTGTTTCTCAGCCAATCCGGAGCACAGGGGCCGTTGCCAAGGGCCCTGGAGGAGGGCAGGGCCTAGCGCTGGGATTTTGCGTCTTGTAGCTGAGCCAAAAGCAGGAGTGAGGTGGCTGACTCCGGGTTACTTGTGCAAAGTAGCCTTGGAATGGAATCAGTGAGCTCCATTAAAGTCTATTATACCAGCGTTTTAGGGTCTAGGGAGGTGAGTGAAAAGAAAAGGGCCTCAGCAGGCAAAAAAGATTAGAGTGAAGACATTCTAGTTGGAGACTTCAGGATTGTGCTAAGACATCCCCTTCTTGCCTTTCATCTTTCAACTCCCTCCTGTCTAAATTTTTAGGGGTAGGAGGTGCAGGGGAGAACAGAGAATGTAGTTAATGCCCTCAGCCAGGTTGTCCTCTGGAAACTGATTGATCTGGAACGTTTCTGTGTCCTGAGCTCAACCATCTTAAGGGCTTGAATAATTTTGCATATGTTTCAAATGGAAGAGATAAAGAACGCTGTTTAGGATGAGAGAGGAAAAATGCCAATGAGTGAACAGCCAAAATCCTCAGAGAAGACTAGGTAACTTCCAAAAGACAACCTGATAGTTAATTTCTAAGAACAAGGTGTATTTGCATAGATCAGACATTTCTTAGATCAGAATTTAGATGAATTATATTGACCAGGATGTAAGAAGTTTTATAGAATAGTGCTTTCCAACAGCAATATATTGTAAGCCACATATGTAATTTTGAATTTTATACTAGCCATTTAAAAAAAAGAGATGAGATTTTTAATATATTTTATTGAACATGAAATATATAAATGTTATATCATTGCAACATATCAGTACAAAAATAGAGATGTTATGTATTCATTTTTCACATTAAGTCCTCAAAATCCAGTATGTATTTTGCATCTTATAGCACATCTCATTTTGGACTGGCCACATTTCAAGTGCTTGATAGTCACACGTGGCTAGTGGTTATCCCATTAAATAGTTTAGTTAAAGAAACCATTGTATGGCTAATAAACTCATTCTGCAAAGTTATGGAGAAACATGAAAACTGAAGGATTTGGAATTGATTATGAATGGTTGACAGACATTCATCACACTCCTGCGTGTGTCAGACACCATGATAGGCTCAGGGAGGAGTGAGATTTGATCTCAGCCCAGAAAGAGGGCACTGCTTTTGCATAAAAGCTTGTCAGGGAGATTAAGGATTTCATCTGGGTACAAAGAAACAACAAGAACAAGAAACAGTTTAAAAAAGAAAAATACGGGCCATGTGACTAGTTTTTTTTTTAAACGTTATGATTTATGTTATTGGATATGGTACTAAGAGTCTCTAAGAGGGAATGATTAGGAATTAATAAAGACCACAACGAATGCAGCAGAGGACTCACCCAACTGTTGGTCTGTGTCTCTCAAACTGTAACATAAAAATTATCTGGAGGGCTTATTAAAACATCCCTGGGACCCACTCCCAGAGAATCCGATTCTGTCATTTTGAGGTGGGGTAAGGCTTATGCTGCTGGTATTGTGAAGCCCTCTCAGACTAGCACTTGTTTAAGCAACTGTTCTTCTCTTAATGGGTTCCTCTGAAAAGGTTTTGAAAGGTCACTATAAAAATGTGACTTAAGTCACATGCACCATGCTTTTGTAATTTTAAAAACGAATGAACCTCATAAAGTGGAAATGTTGCATTTTGGAATTTCAGAAATTTCTCAGCTATTGGTTGGAAATATGCAGTTTTCTAAGCATGACTGGATTACATTTTCAAGTTATCAAACAAAAACCCTACTGACATGCACTTTCACAGAAATCCCACTTGAATAAGCTGGGGTTTGTACTTGTTAAGTTGCTTTCACATGTTTTCTCATTCTAGCATCAGAAGTTTTATGCAACAAAATTGCTCAAGATCGTCATGTTAAAATATAGAAACCTCAAACTTTAAAATTTATGTTATAGTTATTATCAAAAAAATTATAATTATAAAATATGTTTAAAAGATAGCCAACTATTACAATTTTACTTTAGTAGTAGTGTGTGTTTCAGGAGAAAAGACAATGGAGGAAATAGTCTATTAACACATGATGCAAATCTAACAGTTCATATGAGAGGACATAGCATGAACTGGCCACTTTTATCCACTCACATATTTGTAAATCTTAATCCCCTGGTGTGTTTATTTTATTTTACTTTTTTGCCCCATGAATTTTATCTGTATACTTAGGCATAGTCTCCAATTATGGTTTAGAACATATACTGTGTTTCCCTCAAATTTAAAAACTTGGTATTATGTCCATTTCCTACAGAGAGCTACCATAGATATTAGTATAAATTAATGCAGAGATGAGTTCAAAAGCCTGCTTCAACTGTTAGCAGAATGTTCATACCACTTCATGTGCAGTATGACATCAATCTGATAAATATTCATAACTCATTAGACATATTTAGTCCTGACTGACCTTATTATAATTCTTCATATATATATATAAAACATATTTATATATTACATATATACTCTATATGTGTATGTGGTGTGTATATATCACAAAAAAATTACCTTTTACTCCTCAAATATCACACAATTAAAAGCTGTTCCTTTTCCATAGCATAATGGATGGAGAAAGTAAAAATAAAACAAAATTTGGGGATCAGTTGATTAACATATTTCTATCTCTCTATATCTTTGTCTATCTAGGTGAAACAGAGACAGGAAGAAGTTATCAGAATTTTAGATACTTACAAAATAAAGTATGAATTAATAGATATTTCTCTCAGTTTGGAAGTACTCGAAGAAATGAAGACGAAGGTTTCCACTCCGCACTCTCTACCACCTCAGATATTCAATGGCAATGAATATTGTGGAGTAAGAATAAATGTTCATTTTTGTTTTACTTTCACTTCATATCTTAAGGTCATATACATGGGGAAATAATACATTTATAGGGTGTGAGGGGCTGCTTTCTCCATTTATAAAATAACTTAATTATGTTCCCAAAGTCAAGGCAATTTATACTTTATTATGAAAATGAAACTATATCATGCTGCTTATTTTGGGATACTTATGTAGTATTTTTCATCAGATATTATAGTATGAAATGACTGATGCTCTGGGAAAAATTTATTATCTAACTTAGTTGGCAGAGGTTTGCAAAGGCCCAGGAAAGATAATTAGCAAACTTACCTAGACACTTAAGTTTAATGACTTCATAATTGGGAATTTATCAGCATTGATATTAAAAGTTAATTTTAATTCCATTTAGGATTTTGAAATGTTTCATCAGGCAAAGGAGAACAAAGAGATTCTGAAATTCCTGAAGATGGAATGAATGAGCAGTTCATGATACAAAAGATGTTTACTGACATTGATCTGCGTATACATCTATATTCACCAGTTACTTTTAATTATAACAATAAAACTTTCATTAAAGATAATTGCTACCTAGATTAAGTTGTAATCACTAACATGTTTGTCTTTACTATTTCAATCATGCATTAAAATCATTTTTCTATTACACTGTGAACATTTTATACAGCTGTGTAAAAAAAATTATTAAATACTTAGCATCAAACTTTTCTTCTCACTAATAGTTGTCAATTTATAGGCATGAAATATACTTTTAGTGCAATTTTATATTTACTTTCAGCTTTATTTTTTAAATGTTTCTCAGTATATTTAACAAAGGCTTAGATACTGTAATGGAGCTGTTTAAAAAAGAGAGAGAAAAAAGCAGATCCCTGGGCCCCGTTTTAAGTCCTCCTAAATGGAAATTGGAGAGGGAATAGGCATTTGTATTGTTAACAAACTCCACAGGTGATTTTTTTTTTCCTTTGTACACTAAAGTCTGGAAACCAATACTAAAGAATAACAACAATTTTAGGTCACCCCTCCCTTGACCTCCACTTCTTTTTTTTTTTCCTTAAAGATTGGCACCTGGGCTAACAACTGTTGCCAATCTTCCTTTTTTTTTTTTAAGGATTGGCACCCGGG